GGAATTCAAGCCCTATCGTGGCTCCATTCTATCCCCTCGAATGCAAGCACCGAACCTTCCAGTCCGCCCCTCAAGACAGCCCGATTGCCTTACATCAAAGGGGTCACGGACAAGATCGGGAGACTACTGTGCAGAGCTGGTATCTGCATCGTGTTTCGCGCTCGTAACAAGATCGGGAGGAGCCTAGTACAGGTGAAGGATCGTCCGGACCCTCTTCAAGATGCGGCGTATACGAAATTCCGTGCAGCTGTGGTCTTGTTGACATCGGCCAAATGCGTCATGACCGGCTTCAACACAATCCACCAATCGGCTTTGGCCGAACATGGGTCGCGGACACGGGTCATCTAGTCAATTACCACGAGACCCGCACCATAACAACAGAAGACCGGTGGTCGCCTAATTTAATCAAGGAGGCCAGAAGAAAGCCTCAGAGAGGCCTACAAACCTCAACAGAGAAGCATCAATGCCACTGATAAAAAAATCACATAAAAACTTTAGTTCAAATTTTTTTGAGAAAGCAGCTGACTCGGAAAATGAACTCATCTCGCGATCGCCTCATACCAACCCGATCAAAGGGCAAAGTATAGGCGACCGAAACACTTTCTGGAGTAAGAGCAATCTGAAACAGAAGAAGTGGGATGGGGGCATAAACGTAGTATTACAAAACACGCCAATGCGCGCCCGGTAGGCTAAAGATTTTTTGACCTTTGTTTTTCTCTTTATGTTACAGGATAGGCCATAGATGCCCGTAAGGGTAGGAATGGTCCACCGCGGTGGCGGTGAACGCGCATTGCACTTTACGTCGTGCGTTCACAAAACTGCACAAATGTACTGCTGCCCCCCCCCCCCCGGCCAATGACGTGACCGTCCATAGGGCAAGCTCTATTTCGGTTCGGTTTTCTACCATCTACCCTTTCCCGCCCCCATTCCCCTCCCCTCATTTCATTTGGTCACCCGGCATCGCTCTTCTCCTTTTCGCCAATCACGGGAACACCCGCCCTCCTCCAATGCGCCCATCGGCACCACGCGACTTTCCTATAAAACGAGGACACGCTAACCTCTTGGCAGCACGGGAGGTGAAGGCGACGTGCTGTGGCCCTATTCGCGCACTAACCCCGCTCTCTGAGCTCTGCGACGCGGGGGAGCAGCAAGTGCGTGGGAGGGGATCGCCGCTCACGGATGCCGGAGACCGCGCGGGCGGCGCGGATGAGCGCACCGCAAGGCCAGCGTCGCTGGAAACCGAAGACGTCGCGGCGCCACGGACGCTTGAGTGACGTCGGCGCCGTGGCGTGCATATTAGTGTGTATAGTGTTGTGAAGTGTTGCGTGTTTGTATGAATGAATGCGTTTGTAAGTATAAATAAAACATAAGTGCGAATGCGAGTGAGAACAGAAATAAAATAAAAGAAGAAAACAGAACAATGCAAAGAACTAAATTAAATAATTAAATAAAAAACCTCTAAAAACTAACAAACCTCAAAGCCGGAATGTATATAGTTATAAGATAGTTTTAGCTAGTCTCTAAGTAAAAAGCCTTCCCTAACTGCACAAGCCAAATCGGCTGCAGTTGAAAATAATGTATTCCGAAAGTAAAATATATTCTCGCCTCTCCAGGGTAACTGGAAAGGGAAAATAGAAAAAAAATATTGGCAGCAGTATTGCTCTAAAGAAGCCTACAGCAAGATGGCCGAAACGTCAACCCAATTGGCTGAGACGCGTCTCAATCCGGATAACCAACAATATATTTGTAGCACAGCAACTTTGATACAGAAGGTATTAGCACATAAGTACTTATAAAAACGTTCAGAAGTTCGAGCTACGAGTAGTTGTCGTGAACTTCTACTTTGAAATCGCTTTCCACAAAATTTAATACCCCCTAAGTAGAAAAAAATCCAGAGTATGCGTAATAGTTCATAGGAAAGAAATTTAATTTGTTGACTGAAAAGTACAAGACTGTTGTAATCTTAATGGGTGAAATATTCTTGTTGACTATAAAGGAGGAAGTAAGTCGGAACCTCCATTAATGAAGAGGAAAGTTCATCAACAGCTTGTGTTCATGGTAACTAGTATCGTATGATTTCATCCTATAAAGATGTAGTTAATATATTTCCGCCAGAAAATTGACAGGTGATTTGTTAAGCCAGCATATCAAGCCCACAATTATAGGGCTTGAAAAGATTGATTTCGGAGGGATTGCACTGATTTCTGAGAACAATTCTGAGAGCGGAAAAGTCATGTTGTTTTCCGATCCTTCAAAACTAGAAATAGCTTATGAACGTCTATGTGAATCCCCAGAAAATTGCTTTTTTCTTTTGACAGTATGTACCTCTTGAAGTGCTTAAGAAACAACTGGTTAAATCAAGATAACCAAGAAATTAATTTTTCTGATATGAAAGATGTGTTAAAAATGCAGCATCATTTAGTTACCTGAAAGAAATGTGCCACTCTGAGAAGCACAATATATTAAAATGCCAATACTTAATATTTCGACGACCAAAATAGATCACTTTATGGATGGCAACAGGTGGGCGTAAAAAAGGCAGACCAAGAACTCGGTGGTTGGACGACGTGTGCCAAGATCTTCGGCTGCTGCACAATGGAGAGTGGAGAGCGATAGTGAATAACAGGAAAAAGTGGATTTATATTTATTTAGTCAAAAAAACAACAAAAAACTATGTGTCGTGGGTGGGGACAAGATCAGCTGCGCACATTTTTTTTGAGTTCCAGAAACCCTTCCCATCATTTCAACTATATATAGTTGAAAGATGAGTAAAAGTTAAAGATAAATAAAATTTAAAACAGCACGAGATTAGCAATATTTGAAAAAAAAACTAGACATTTTCGTTCCCGAGTTATAAAAAATGTATTTGCAACGGTAAACGAATTGCAGATATGATTTTTCTGCATTGCTAGCAGAATAGTAACTCGCCCTTACCTCTATTTCTCCCACTACAAGCAAAACGAGAGTTCAACAAAACGTTGGCATAGTGAAGCTACATCACGTCCAGACGCAAATCAAGGGATCATCTGACCATTTGCTCAAAGATTTAGGAACAATTTAGTTGTGAAAGCTAAGACCCACAAAGGCTTGTAGTGCTAATGGGAGAAGAAGAATACTTTAAATTTAAAAACATTGTGCCATTTAGCTGACTGGCCCCAACAGAGGAGAGATATCTCTACTCTGTGCTGATCCCATAAGATCCTCAATATGACAGTTGAAACTATTTCCTGCCAGAATAGCCAACTTATGGAAAGTTGAAAGCGATGACGGTTTCCGCTTGATTTGTTTATGCTAAACGACACCGCAGCAGGCATTCCTTGTAAAATAAGAGCGTGTGAAAAATAATTCAAAATAAGTTAACGTGCACATGTTTATAAAACGTTGGAGAGTATTTACTGTAAGTAAATAATGAATAAATAATCCAGGTTCGAGAAAGTAATAAAAATATTACACAAGAAAGTAAAATAATTTTACATGTTACATGAATACTAGTAAAATGTGGCTGACGCTGTACTGTTTCAAAAATAGCTTCATGTATGAAAATGAAAATTTCATACCCAACTTTATTCAAATATGTTTTATCAGTACCTGGCATTGGACTTACTAATGAGTTGTAGTAGCTGATAATGTTATAATCCCCGTTCAAAAGTTCCCAACACCCAATGGCCTTGTGTGTTACCTCCATATGGGATATAAACTGGCCTTCCTTATTTGCACCGTTCAGTCTGTCTTAATTAATTATCATTTTGTGAAGTATTAGAGTCCACATTTTGAAAAGTATTCTTGTAACCTTCATTTATTATATAATCGTGCAACAGTTTCGAGAATTGTTGACTCCATCATCAGGATGTAAAATTGAATTTTGAAATGTTATAGTACGAATTTGAAAGTATTTACATTACAATATTAAAATGGAGAAATTATGACAGGAAACAACTTACCAGACACATTTTGTGAGCGCTCATGTGTCTGGTAAGTTCTTTCCTGTGATGGTTTCCTTCATATGTGCCAATGCCTTCTCGCTTAATACGCCATCGTTTTCTTTCACATTGGCAACACTGATGTTGACATTTTAAGTGAACAATTTAATTACAAAGTAAATTGCACTGCAGTTTGGTTTCAATTGAGATTCGAATTATCGCATTTAAAAAAATGTGAGAACCTACGAACACAATTGCCTCGAAACTTATAATACTTGAACAATTTCAAGTGAATGTGGAGAAAATAAAACTGTGAGTAACGCTAGGGAATGAATGAATGGCTCTACTTCGCACTTTAACGTTCTTACAAAAGTGTGCAAATACCAATTTTTAAATAAATGTGACCCACAACTTATTTGTATTAAACTTAACTAACACTTTATTCACACAAACATACTAAACATTATTTAACTAATTTACACTAAATACTCTTTAACGTTTTATAAACACGTTTATAAGTTACGATAAGTTATTTTGAATTATTTTTAACATGCTCTTGTTTTTCGAGGAATGCCTAGGGCGATGTCGATTAGCAAAAACAAATCGAGCGGAAACTGCCATCGCTTTCAACTTTCCATAGGTTGGCTATTCTGGCAGGACATAGTTTCAGCTGCCATATTGAGGATCTTATAGGGCCAGTCGGCTAAAAGGATAGCTATTTACGGCTTGTTTGACGGTTAGACATTAAGTGTGAAGAAAAGTTAAGAAATGGCTGATGCTGGTCGTGGCGGATTTCGGGGAGGTTTTGGCACTCGTGGTGCAAGAGGTGGCCTTCGCGGTCGGGGACGTGGCCGCGGTCGGGGTAGAGGCCGCGGCAAGGAAGGTGAGAAAGAATGGTTTCCTGTTACAAAACTCGGAAGACTGGTTCGAGATGGCAAGATACGTTCACTTGAAGAAATTTATCTATTTTCGCTCCCCATCAAGGAATACGAAATAGTGGACTTCTTTCTTGGTTCTGCACTAAAAGATGAAGTCCTGAAAATTATGCCAGTTCAGAAGCAAACCAGGGCTGGTCAGCGAACGAGGTTCAAGGCATTTGTGGCCATTGGCGACTCAAACGGCCATATTGGATTAGGCGTGAAATGTTCTAAAGAGGTAGCTACCGCTATCCGCGGAGCTATTGTCTTAGCGAAGTTGTCTGTCGTACCAGTTCGTCGAGGATACTGGGGAAATAAGATCGGAAAACCACACACCGTTCCTTGCAAAGTGACAGGGAAATGCGGCTCTGTGCGAGTTCGTTTAATACCCGCACCGCGTGGCACCGGAATAGTATCTGCGCCTGTTCCGAAGAAGTTGTTGCAAATGGCGGGTATTGAGGATTGTTACACATCGGCTCGGGGTTCCACAGGAACGCTTGGCAACTTTGCCAAGGCCACCTATGCAGCAATTGCAAAGACTTACGCTTATCTTACACCCGATTTGTGGCGAACTCAACTGCTGACTCGCTCTCCATATCAAGAATTTGCTGATTTTCTCGCCAAAAAGTACGTGAGCACAACTGTGCGTGAAGCATAAAGAATCTGCATAGGAGAGTTCAGAATTTTTGAAGTATGCTTATAATGTCCTTTGTGAATATTGGTTACTTTTGAAATGGGTACCGTATTCAGTTTTTCTATTATATTTTAAGCAGAAGAATTAGCGGTTTTTTTTCACTTCATATACACAGTTTTTAAAATACGACAGCAAAAATAATTTCAGTTTTAAGGTAAAATTGAAGCACAAGTGTGAACGCTTGAGTAAATGCAATTTTGAGTCAAATACTATAAGTGCCAATTGCATTAATGTATTAGTTAGAAATAAAGTACGTAAAGGGATATAAATTACTATATTTCGTTATTCTGATTCAATAAATTTGTGTAATGGGAACAAGATATATCGCAAACTATTTTGTCATTTGCATTAATGAAAGTAGTTTGTGCTGCGATATTTGTGACATACATACAAATAAGTGTGTTTGAAGTTTTGTGTGGCAAAGGATGTTCATGTAGCTAATAATGTGGAAATAAATAATTTCAATTGCTACTTTTATTTCATTGTTCCATAAATTTCAACACAATTTATATAGATATGTATTAAATTAGAACTTTTTACGTTATAATTATGTTATTTTGCATTCCCTCTCTTCAGACAATTGCAGTTTTGAATCAAGTAGAATTATGTATTCTCATTCTCTTGTAAGATTCATTGTGTATATATTTATCAATTTTAAACCTATTTTTACATTGCATTACAGTTTTTAAATGATGCATAGAACATATTTTAATTTTTAATTCAGATTAAATTTCACTTAATTCATTATGATCAATGAAAAAATTATTTACGTCTTTGCACCATTCCTGTTACAAGGAAATCAAATCATGGAATTCCTGCCAATAATCCGCGAACGATTTCTCAAGACCAATCGCCAGTACTTGATTTTTTTCGATCTCGTTTAACTTAGCTTTTTTTGATCCAGATAGAAATACGATGCTTTCAGTAGTCTTATTTTTTCATGATCCGTTAACATTTCAGTTATTTTCCATACCCTCTTAAAGGAACTAAATATACATTTGTCCTAATATCCGAGGCTTAGTCATAATTAATATTGTTCATCATTAAGACATTAAGTTAAATTGATCTATGAAAATGTGATGGTTAAGAATAATTTGTGACCAAATCACAATCTCGAATACTCTGACAAGGAAGTAAATAAATACAAATTTCTCATAACGGTTTTCATACGTGTAATATATCCTATGCACGATTTACAAGTGCCAAAAATCTCAATAATAAAATTTGAATTTATTGTAATAATTGAAATTTACCAACGTACGTAATACCAAAATATATCCGCTACATATAAACATATTAAGTAGATGGATTTTATATTCAATATGTTTGTCGCTTCTGTTCTTGCAATTATATGCTGTAAACAAGAGGATGGCCTTTTAACCAAGAATCGTAACAACCAGTGGACGTTTTGCATGAAGATTGTAAAAAGAAGTGAACTCCGGTGAGACGGTCAGACAAAGCATTTTCCCTAAATTCCTGGTTGAAGTACTTTGCAATATTGGTGTCCATGTTTTCTGTTGACAAAACGGCACGAAGTCTGTTGTTTCCTCAACTCTGCTTTTGGAGGTATGTATAAAAAGCGTCGTCACCTAATCGGACTCGCAGCTTCAGCCACATCACGCCTCTCGCCTCTCGATATATACTCTCTGCCTCTCGCTATGTAGTAGTTCCGTGTGGCTGCGAGGTGCAATGCTGCCACACTTCACAGCAGGGAAGTGTGGCAGCATTGCACTTCGCGACCACATGGATCTATGCTGCGTAGGCCACCAAGCTTTTGTGTCAAATCAAAGCCATCTAGTTACACTCACTGAAGTGTAGATAGCACGGGTCAGGCATGTATACGCGCGTTATTGGTAGAAAAAAGCCGAGATAGTTCACTTATCGCGCGATTTCGCTGAAACTACGCTAGTCGGATTACCTGTCGACGTTTTTTGTACACACCTCCAAAAGCACAGTTGAGGAAACAAACAGACTTCCTTCCGTTTTGTCAACAGAAAACGTTTACCAATGGTGCAAAGTCCTTCAACCAGGAATCTAGGGAAAATACTTTGTCTGACCGTATCAGCTACTTTTTTACCATAATGTGTACGAGATTAGTATGCTTGCTTAAAATAAAATGAAAGTCAATAAGGCCGTTTAAAAAATTCTGTATGACAACCGCGGTAAAAGTGATATTATTTTGTTTTGAGGATAGCGCCACAACCTCGTGTCGCAATTTTTTCTACTAGCAAAATTGTCACTTTTATACCACTTATAATAAATAACTTAATTTGCTCACGTTTTCTTGAGCTGTGGAATCTCTAATCCATATCTTTTACTATGCATAGTAGTTACATTAAGGATAAAAGATAGGAACGATTTTTTTGTAATATTCGTTATCAAGAAATTTTTGCTCACGGATGGTAGCAACTATTTGTTTCGACAAACTAGCTACAGATTTGATTGGGTATTAGTGCTTAAGACCAAATCCTAATAACTTTCCCTCCTTTCCACTAAACTCACGTATCGAGCAAACTGAAAGCCATAAAAAGTGTGCAGATTTGGTCACTATTACATAATTAAACACAAATTTGAACACAACACATTTGAACACAAAATTGAATGTGTTCATACGTAACGATAATAGAAATATATTAATTGTGAAAGAATGTATTGATAGTGATTGTTTAACTGATCTATGATAGTTCCTCACTGGGGGCAGAGTGTTTATATCTGGCTGGGGACACAGTATTAATAGGCGTATTTAGAGATTCACCATTGGCTTCACAAATTACCATGGTATACGTATTTATACAGTAGTGCATCTCCGTGTTAAATGTTCTAAGACGACGTGTTGGTCAGCGACTCTATCCACGCGGCGATCAAGGAATGTTCGCCGCCTTCCAATGCGTAATACTGCATCGTTCTGCTAAATCTAACCAAAAAGTAAATGTTTTTATATATATTTTAATTTCCTTATGCGAATAACTAAAACATGAAGGAGATGACACAAAACAATTTAACCCAATTTCTTTCCTTAACAATTTTAAACAATTTTTAAGGAAAGAAATAATTTAAATCTAATGGATGTTGCCCATTGAAAGTGAATAGTGGAATCATGAAGAAGAACAAGTATTTCTATATTATTCATGAATATATGTACAAATATAAGTAATCTAAATAGTAAAGGGTGATATTGGGAGGTAATAACAAATGTCAACTTTTCCTTCCTAGGTCTATTGAACAAGTAAAAAAAACACAACTCAGGTTTCTTTCCCTCATTATTGCTGCATTTAATTGAAGAAAAGTGCGATCCTTTTAACACGGGCATTGTCATTAATCTGTTAACTGGAAACGTATAAGAATTCAGTTGGAGCATATCAAATATGTTCCGATACATGTCAAATGTGAGGTTAAAACGTTGGTTCGACGTAATTTTTCGTGTTATTAATGACTTACTCTTTAAATTCTAGGAATATTTAACTACGAGGTCAAGAAATAATCCAAATTATTGTTTAATTTTTGAATTATCTGTTAATAAACGCAATTTCACACACTCTTTGCATATGTACTCTTTGCAATTTCACAAAAAAATCCAAATACTTCAGTAGTTGTTCTTTCAGTTCACTTGATCTTCACCAGGATCGCTAGCTGTATACGCGCGCATCCCGAACTAGAAAGAAAATAATAACTACGCTTCTGTACAAATACGTATACTGTGCTGGGAGAATGGGAACATTTCGCACTGCAAATCATTGTGTTAAAGTGAAAATAGCTTCACGCTGGAACCCCGACTAAGAACGGCCAGACCGTGAATTGCGCATTATTTCATATGAATGGCATTTGCTTATTATTCCATTTTAATAAAAAATATGAAGAAGCACGGGACGATGCACGCGATGTATTTCCACAGAATAAGGTCATATCTCATATGTTAATGCACATTAGCAAAATATTCGGACTGAGCTGTTTGAAGTGTGACGATTTAAAAGAATTTTGAATACGTAACACATATTTAATTTTGAACGGCTTGACGGAATTTAAAGACCCAAAAATGTGTCTACTTTAACACCCAGAATATCGTTTTAAACAGCATATGCAATTGCTGATTTGAAATGCAAAATGCATTGGAACAGTTTTTCATTCTTTAATATTATGTTGTGAATAAGGTTACATTACTCCGGTATCCGTGATAATGTAGTGAATTATGAATATTAATTTTAACGGAGTAAATATTTCGAGCACGTAGAACTAATGATAACATCTTGACATTAATATATTAGTAATATGATTATAATTAATTGTTTCTTTAGAGACACATTCGTACCTAAATTTCGGGATCTGTGTTACTCTTGACATCGGTCCCATGTTAAGCATACAGCAGCGTGGCGTAGAGCAAGTCTGTCCAGACTACAGAGAAGGAATATTGTGTTCCATGGTTCAGTCAAGTCTGAGATCGAGCTCTTCTTCGATTGTTTTAAAACAAAAGAAAACAAACGTTTCTTTTACATTCTACGAGTTAGAGATACAGTATCTCTAGCTAGTTGATTACATGCATAGAGCACAAATATCCCTCGTATCTATCCCCCCTGAATGATTTTTTGCGAAGAACGCCCCTGGCCCTCTGTGCACACGTAAATGTTTCCTACCTAAAACTCTGATCGTTTCTGAAAAGAAAACATGTAAATCAGATGTAATGTTCCTAGAGAGAATTTAAAAAACTGTAAATATCTCGGGATGACTGGATTCTTAAATTCCCAGTGTGATGTATTCGCGATTTTTCTGGAAATAAATTGCACTTTCAACCAATTCTTAAATGGTAGCTTGCTTTATAGTTAAATATTGAAGTCTTGAGTATGTAAAACAGAAAAAAATGTATTTAGAATATGAATAACAAAGTCACGAAAGGTAGTGAAGGTTAATAAAGGATTTGTAAGTAAAAGTTGACATTGACAGACACCACCTACATCTACGCGGTATAGAGT